TTTAATGTTATATTGTAATTCTAAATTGTTAATGGAAACAAAATGGTCATAAAAAATGTGCATTTAATAATATTTTTTAATAGAGATTGACCAATTAAAAAAGAGTTATAATGTTTATGACAACTTAAACTAGAGAGCATGATTAGAGTTATAGTATTTATGACTCCCTAAATTTTATAGAGAGCTCCTAAAATAACTTTTATATGTTTTTAGATAAAATTTAACTAAAAAATAGAGAACACGATTGTGGATGCTCTTAGAGCATCTCCAACTGGAGAAATTATAGAATAATACGGTATCATCACATCAACTGGTAATACTTCTACTCAAATATTGCCATGTGTTTTTTTAAAATATAAAATTTACATGTTTTTCCAGCTAGACATTGAGTCTCAATTTTACCCTTTAGAACAAAATTTTAAGAAGGAAAAAAGAGAAGACGACGACTGTCGCCAAGGTTTGCAGTGAGTCTACCCCTTTCTGCCGCCCCCTCCCTATCTTTAACTTCATCTAAGTTTCTCTCCCTCCATCTCTCTCTCTCTCTCTCTCTCTCTCTCTCTCTCTCTCTCTCTCTCTCTCTCTCTCTGGATATGTGTTTCTCGGATCTTCTCAAAATTGGATAAAGAGAACTTGGATATGGAGGTTTTGAGAAGGATGATGGCAACCTAGATGAGAAGACTGAAGGATTTGGGGGAATGGGGGAATACAAGGAGGGAGAGGTGGAGTGAGACTACGAAGTGGGTAGAGGTGGGACGATGGGGCAAGATGGAGGGAGACTGTGAACTGGATAGAAGTGGATGTGGCACAATATTTTTTAAATTTTTTATTTTTATTCTGAAGGGTAAAATTGAGACCTAATGTCAATATTTAAGTGGAAGTATCACCAGCTGACGTGGTGATATCGTACCATTCTATAATTTCTCCTCCAACTGATATGTCAAATTGTCACATGGATATGAAATGACAACAATTGAAAGTTAAATTTGCTCCAACCGAATAGTCAAATCTTACATAGATTTAAAAGCTGGAAGAGATATGTCAAAAATAACATATAAAAAAGCTTAATGTCAAATAGTTTTTAAATATTTTTTTTAGTCATGTACCCCACTATAATTTACTATCTTTAAAAATTTTACGCATCATATGGGCCCCATTTGTTTTTAAAAATATAATAAAATAAAATGATATTATTTTTATATTTTAAAAAAAAATGTAAGTGGACAAAAGAGAAATTGAAACATACAATTTCTAACGAAAGGAGTATAAATAGACAAAAGAAGAATCATAAAATCAACTCCCAAAAAACATTATCAAACCAAATGGCTCAAATTTGATTTTTGGTTGGGTTATTTTTCTTGACCTTTTTTTATTATTATTATTATTTCGCAATTAATTTCGTTGGCTTGTAAATTTAAAGCTTATGTTTTTATGTGTAGGTGTTGAGTGCTGGTCCTGGCCACCAGCATAAGTGACAATTGCCGACCACGCCATAATTTCCACAATAGGCACCCCAATGCAGCCCATAATTACGAAATCCTCAAATCCCAACACGTCGTTTCACGAACTCCGCAGGGGCCACGCTCGTCATTACAAAAACTTCACCAGCACCATGAGGGCCAACCCACACTGACACTGACACATACACGTGATAGGCCAGAGATATTTATTATTATTTTTTTTTAATAAATTTGAGTTTTAGTCATTAAAAAAAAATTTACTTTTGAAAAAAGCCAAAGTTTTTTCTTAAAAAAGACAGAAAAATCTCTCAACTTTTAAACCAAAGACATGCAAAGTAAAAAATTCTTTAGAAAATTCAAAAATAAATGAAGACAATTTTATTTATTTTGACTTCTTTTAAAAATTTTCTCTCTCCTTTTCTCTTTTCTAAAGTCTCCTTTTTTATTTTTTGGTTACAAGATATTTATTTTTTTCACTTTCTCTTACATAGGTAGGCACGTCCCATCCCCGACGTCGAAAGTGCGTGGGAAAATAGACGGTCAGTATCGAATGTAAAATCAGTTAAAAGCCTGAGGCAGAGCATCGATCGTGTCACGCAAAGCAAGCCAAAGCTACCGAGGAGATCGAATCAGCTGTGGCCACGTCATCAGATACACAAAGTCCGAAGAAATCCGTGGCCCCGTCTCGTAACCCGTGGGTCCCACAGATATGGCAAACAGGAAGGGAAGCCAAAGCTTAAATAGTCGTGGCCTCAGGCCCTCCTGGACACTTCAAAAGGGCCGGCGCTTCCTCCTTATACAACAGGCCACCGAGCCCAAGAGCGAGAGAGAGAGAGAAGAGCTTCTCGTTCAGGTACTCTCTCTCTAATTTTTTTTCTTCATTTTGCTTCTGGTTGATTGTTTCTGTTTGGTTTGGCTTGTCAAATTCGGAGTTTTCTACTTGCATTTCGCGGTTTTTGATTGAATGTGATTTCATTTTGTATGTTTGAGCTCCATTTCAATGGCGTAATCTGGATTAGATCTAGGCGTTAATGTTTTTCTATGGAGATTCAGATCTTCGTGTTCGTTTGCGACTGCAACTCCAATTTTATTTCCCTTTTTCTTTTAAACGCCTACGATTTTGAGCTAGATTATTATAATGCAACTAATATGATTTTTTTTAAGCTCGTTCATTCTCTATGGAGATTCAGATCTTCGTGTTCGTTTGCAACTCCATCTCCCTTTTTTTTTCCTTCTCTTTTTCAACGGCTACGATTTTGAGCTGTATTATTAGACGCAACTGATATTCTTCTTTTATATATATATATATTTCTATTCTATTTTTATGGTTAATTTAAAAGAATTGAGCATTTCGAAGTCCGATCTGACTCATCTGAGCCTAACAGTCTGGATCTTTTGTCGCGTTATTTGATTTGGTCCTTTCACACATGATCTCTGTCGTCATCTCTCACACTTTATTTTCAAGTATTAAATTATTTTCGTCATTGTTACGGTTAATCTTATAATTTAATATTAGTTAGTATGGACTCCCTTTTTTTCTGGCCATTCGTCTTCGTTCTCGTTTTTCCTTCTTGGCTGCTTACATTTAAATGCCGCGTTTTATTGGGGCGGTTGCAATTTTGTAACTTCCTGGCACCTTACCCCTTCTCGTTTTGCCTTCTTGGCGCATATTCGTGATAACTTTTTCTCGGCTGATAATTTTGTAACTTTGCGAAGCTTTGGCTAAGTTTGATTTGAGAATTTGAAATTCCAACGAGAAATTCGTTGTAGTTGCGTAACAGTATTTTAAGAATATTCGGAGAACATTATTATCATTGGAATTTCAATTTTGGTTGGCAAGTTGGCAACAAATTAAATTTGATATTTTTTGGGCCATGGGCAAGTTGGAAATGTTCGGCACATTAGGAAAATAATGTGGTCAAAATCAAAGCTTTATAGTCAAGTGCATCATGCGAGAAGAAAATGAGCTTTTTTTGTCATTAATTAATATTTAATTAACCTTGACCGAATGGTTGACCTGCTCATGATATTGGGAGAGCCAAACAATTTCTCTTCCGCAGTATGCTTATTTTTACTTTCTTTATTGAAGTTAGAGAGGCGTAAGGTATACCTTCACGTGACAGGCCTCAGTTCCTTGTCTGTTTTAGATTCATTGAGGATTGAGAAGTCTGCCCACCATATGTATTGATTTTTTCAATTTTTTCTGGTTTGGTGCGTTGCAACTAGCATGAGGGCTTGTTTCTTTATTGCCTATGTAGGGTAGCATTCGGCGCATAATTAAAGTTGCGGTGGGTCCTAAGGAATATCAACTAAAACTAAGGAAACTCTATTTATTCAAATCACCTTTTTGCGCAATACTTTGTTATTGGTACTTTATCTCTAATTTAAGGGTCAGTCCCCACCAATTGCATTCAAGTTTGAGTTACCCGTGTATTGTTAACACAAAGAAACACTCATTTAAATTTTTATTCCTTAAAATTGTGGCATGCATTAAACATCCTCTAGGTTTATATGTGCTTGTTCTACTTGATTTGAAATTCTGGTGTGACTTATTGTATATAAAAACTTGAGTTGGGTTTGTAGTCAAATTGCCCGTTATGCATAGTGAATCTAGTTAGTGACACAAACTCCTAGTTTATATTCGAGTGAAATTGCCAAATCATGCTCTCTATGTTTGTAGTCAAATTGCCCGTTATGCATATGGCTTTAAATAAATGCTTAAAATAATATTAAATAAAGAAGTATTTAATTATAAGGAGTCATTAGGAGTTTTTTTTCTCGTCTCAAATTTATGAGCTCCTAGAGATCTCTCTATTTTAGGAGCTGAATAGGGAGCTTGGTTGGAGGTGGGTTTTTTCAATTCCTCTCTAAATTTTAGCTAAGAAGGAGGTTTAGAGAGCCCATTGTAGATGCTCTTAGTCTTTGCCATCTCTGTCTCAGCTGTTAAGAATGATATGTAACAAAACCAAGGAAGCTTGTCGGTACGTTTACACTGGTTAATAGTGGCGGCAATAACTTAGATCAAATTGGTTGTGTGATGCACGAGCTCCTCTACTTGTATGTTGGATTCTTTTGGATATTCCACTTGCCTTTCTGGTTGGTTTTGGTCCGTTTACCTTGGCACTTTGTTTCTGAGTGGTTGTCATGTGAGGCTTGAACCTCCAAATATCTCAATCGGTTGGTCTATTTTAAATTCAACGTTTGCGGTGTTTCATTTTTTTGGTGCTCTTCGATTCAGCCAATGAGGAAACCCACACCCACCTAGCCGTAGTCACTCTCGAGGTCTACAGGGAGGAATATGTGAGAGATCTGAGGAATAAAATTATTTATAATTGTTTCATGTCTTTTACCTTTATCCTTACTAATATCTCCTTTTCGTTTCTTGGTGCTGATATCTTAAACTAGTATATATAACTATTGAAATCCTGTTGTGGCACTACAATTCAATTATTCTGTTTTGGTGGTGCATTGTGGACTAACCTCCTTTCACAATTACATTGTACTCAAGAGATTCGTTCTTCTTTCTTTGCAGATTTAGGAGCAATGGGTGCCGGTGGAAGAATGTCCGCACCCCCTACCCGTAAGAACGCTGAAACCGACGACCTCAAGCGAGTGCCATTCTCAAAACCTCCATTCAGTGTCGGCCAGATCAAGAAAGCCATCCCACCTCATTGCTTTCAGCGCTCTGTTATCCGCTCCTTCTCCTATGTCTTTTATGACCTTACCATTGCCTTTCTCCTGTACTACATTGCTTCCAATTACATCCAGCCTCTCTCTCAACCTCTCTCTTTCTTGGCGTGGCCAGTTTACTGGTTCGTTCAGGGCTGTGTCCTGACTGGTGTTTGGGTGATAGCGCATGAGTGTGGTCACCATGCTTTTAGTGATTATCAATGGCTGGATGACACAGTTGGTCTAATCCTTCACTCTGCCCTCCTTGTGCCTTATTTTTCTTGGAAGTATAGCCATCGCCGTCACCACTCTAACACAGGTTCCATCGAGCGAGATGAGGTATTTGTCCCCAAGCAGAAGTCTGCTATTGGATGGTACTCCAAATATCTAAACAACCCACCGGGCAGGTTCCTTACACTCACCATCCAACTCACTCTAGGCTGGCCTCTGTATCTGGCTTTCAATGTTTCAGGGAGGCACTATGAAGGCTTTGCCTGCCACTACCATCCATATGGCCCCATCTTCTCTGATCGTGAACGATTGCAGATTTTCCTTTCTGACGCCGGTGTTCTTGCAGTTGTATATGGGCTATACCGTCTTGCTGTGGCAAAAGGGCTTGCTTGGGTTGTATGCTATTATGGAGGACCTTTGATGGTGGTGAATGGATTTTTGGTGCTGATCACGTACTTGCAGCACACACACCCTTCATTGCCACACTACGATTCCTCCGAATGGGACTGGTTGAGAGGAGCTTTGGCAACAGTTGACAGAGATTACGGCATCCTGAACAAGGTTTTCCACAACATCACAGACACTCATGTTGCTCACCATTTGTTCTCAACCATGCCACATTACCATGCAATGGAGGCCACCAAAGCTATCAAGCCGATTTTGGGCGATTACTATCAGTTGGACAGGACGCCGGTTTTCAAGGCAATGTTCAGGGAGGCGAAGGAGTGTATTTATATTCAGCGAGATGAGGGTGACCAGAAAGGTGTCTTCTGGTACAATAATAAGTTATGAATGTGATTATCAAAATTGTCCGAATGAGTGTTGGGGGAATTTTAAGTTCTTGTAATGGATCTGAGCTTCCCCTTTTCACTCATGAATTAGGTTTCTTTCGTCGCTTGGGACTCTACTTTAATATGACTAGTTGTGCTATTTCAATAATTTTCTCACCCCTATTTATTGTAGAACGCAAGAATGTTCTGTGCTTTCTCCCCTCCAATGAATGTGGTCAATTTCCTAAGCAAAAAGCTTTCCAAAGGCCTAATGAAAAACGCAACGTGCTAAACCAATTCTGAATATTTGCATTTTCATTTTCATTTTCATTTTTGTGGTTGAGAAAGACTCGAGAGTCGTTGCAACTTGGAACTCAATTTCTGTGGCACAAATTAATGAATCCCTGAACGAGAGGGAGGAAGGCTAAATGAAATGATAACACATGGGCTTTGCTCAGCCACAGGACAATGCTGATCCATTCCATCTGTCTTAGCTGCTTCATTGATATTTGGCACTCTGACCCACACTATCTTCACCCTGTTTTTGAGGGATGTGGAAGAGTAAAATCCAAGGGCTCCTTGGGTGAGCTGGATGATATGGTTGGATAGAATTAATAATCCTAGTCAAGTGTTTGGTGGTCTAAAAATAACTCGGAATGGATTATGTCTTCTGGAGCCTAAATGTAGTAGAATTATGAATCCCACCGAAGTTGGATTGGATTATGTCCTATCATGCTAGACTATATAATACATTATTGGATTAGTATTATCCTTTCCAATCAAATGTAATCCAATCCAATTCCAATCGCGAAACGTGACCCCAAATGTCCAAACATGAGTGTAAATTGCAATATAGCCCGCAGTGAGTTTGGAATTTGGAAGACTATTACTCTTCATTTTATGTCATTAGAAAGAAAAACAAAAATGAATTAAATGAGTCAGTAATGAAGAAGGCTACAGTAAATGAGTTAAGAATTTCTAGACGAAGTGTTCCATTTTCTACATGTAACCAAAAAAAAATAAAAAGGGAAATGTGGGTTCGGCCAGTTGTTCAAGACAGTGCACCCGCCCCTTTGCACCTAAGCTCAATCACTCTCCTTGACTATGGTAGTTTAGAATATTGAACAAAACCAAAAAAATTAAATATGTTAACTGGAGTAGCCCAATCAATGTATCTAGTATAAACTTCAGCCCAGGCTTAATTATACTGGCCCAATATGCTCATCTATTATTCCAGGCCCTGTTATCATAACAGGCTTCCGAGAAAAAATAAATTAGAAATCTGCAATCCAGTTTACAACCCTACCACAGAAGCCCATTATGTTGTTACATAATCCTTTTAACCACACCAATATATATTATGAATTGGATTATTATTTTTAAATAATGTTGTAAATTACGAACTTGAAAGGTATGAATTGCTTAATGGGAATGGATTCTCTGAATCCTGATTACTATGTATGACTAAATCAAAGTTTACAATCAATGTCATCATCCTCAATCCTGGGTTTCATAACATCAAAGGGAAATCGACATCAAATCACGACAAATTCAAAATCACGTCAATGTTCAATGGTTATTATTTCTTAATTAAACCATATTAAGTTGGTATTAATTTCCATCAGTCAACGGTAAATGCATACTTACATGTTGCCATGGCCAATTGATAAGAAAGTGACTTGCCATAAGAAGAGAAAATCAGATTTATGAGTAACCTTGAATATCTACAAGTCAAAGATTTCTTAGGCAAACATTTGGGTTACTTAATTTGTACTTCAAAAAGAAAAGCAAGACTAATGAGAAGTGAAATCTCTGGACCACAACTCGACCATGAAAGCAACTGGTAACTGCAGACATGGAAAAAAAAGGTCCAATAATATATGTACTACTAATTCTTTACATGTACACATGAATTGGTCTCTGATATTAATTTGATAATTAACATACATGTTGATATACATGTATTAGGTCATACAACTAATGTTATAAGAAGAAGAAAAAAAAAACAGAGTGTCTAGTGGAAAATTGAAATATATCTTGCTTGCATATGCATATTCTTTTGTTAAATTATTAAGACGACATTATGTTGTCGAATTGTGAACGTAGAAAATTTGACAATTTATTAAATTGATTCTTATTTGAATGTGCGAGTTAAATTCACAATATGACAATACAAGTATTTGTCTTTGCAATGTAATTTGATACGCGATGCAGTGCAATGCATGATACTTAAAAACTCAATGAACAAAATTAAATGGTTGATACATCATTTTCCAAAATGTAGCTCGATTAGTCGAACCTTCCCCAGAAAATTCAAAACTGTAGGCTTAACCTGAAAAAGGGTTGAGTGTTTTTAGGTCAAGAGATATGGGTAGGGCAGCTAATGAAGCAGAAGTACGGGCTTCAAGTAATATGAATTACCCTGGGTAGGAAAAGGAAGCCTTTCTAGGTACAGATGTTACCATATAGTATAGCGAAAATACGGAAATTAACAGTGCAATATATTATATATAGTACTTTTACTGTGCACTCGCAGTCTCAGAATACATGCAAACTGTAAGATGAAATCATCTGCATTGCAGGCATGTGCATGTCAGATTCAAACTGATCATCATCACGTGCAACAACTCCTTAATTTCACATTCAATTTTACACCAAGTAACCATATATATATATATATTCTGCCTGTGTTGGTTTGTTTTGAGTCTGGTTTCTTAAGCGGATATCATGGCGGGTACGTACAAACATGTGACATGTATGCCATAAATATATATGTTATTTTCTTTCTTTCTGTTCCTGCATAGTGCCTAAAATGAACTAGCTAGTAGCTTCTGTGTTCCATAATCATTGCCATCTCTGCCACGCAGCTATATACATACATATATATATATATATATATGTATGTATATGTATTATTGAATAATATAAGCATATATGTATCATGATCTGGGGTGTCCAAAGAGAAAGCAGCCTATCTAGCCTTAATCATTTCTGGCAGGACTATATATAGCACCAAATTTGGTTACACGCCATACTAATATATGTTGCCATTGTTCCATCACATCCACTGCAACCTAGCAACCCTAATGCGAAACACATAATATAATTAATAGTAAATTTGGCTTACACCCTTCAAATTCAATTTGCCGTACCTAAAACCCTTTACTTTTTGTTCCTATAAATAATACCCAATTTGTATAAGTAAAAACCCATGACTAGGATCCAACTCAGCAAGTTACCTAATTAAGCATAAAATTTGATTTATTATACTTTTCAGATTCCAAAAATACCCCCAACTAAGCCATTATTGCATTTTTTATATTAATGTAGGAATCAATATGGAAACAGTTTTTAATTGGATTGTATATAATGACAGATGTTGAATTTGGAAAGATCTCCAAATGGCTGTAATGGATGTAGGAATTAATTTTGAAACATTTTTAAAAAAATTTAACAATAATTTCAAATTTGGGTAATCGGTTTGTTTAATAAAATGTTTATGTTATTTTCTTTTTATGAATTATACATGACTAATAATCCACTTTATAATTGTTTATGAATAAAACTGTACATACTAATTATGTTGAAAAAATAATGTACCTATTACTTGTTTGTTTTATGAAAAATATAATTTACCTAGTATGACAAGTGTACATAATTATCTATTCCAATATACCTACATTATACGACATCCAATATACCTACATTAATTTTAATGTACTTACAATTAAGATTTAGGTATTATATGTCATCCAATGTACCTACCATTTGAATAATATACCTACTATGAATAAAGTACCTATTATTTATCTAAATAATGTACCTATTTTTCCTCTCCAAATAATGTACCTAAACACATTATAGGTATATTGTAAAATAATTTACCTGTGGGTTAATAATGTACCTATATTTCATATAAATTATTGTGAACCTATTTTTAATTATGAAAAATATACGCAATTACAAAGTAACTGACTTTGCTTTTTTTTTTGGGTAAATAATATACCTGTATCTTATATGTATATATTTATATTATATTTTCATAGGTACATTATTGGATATGTAATTTACAGATTTTTTTTTGGTTTGCAATTTTAGGGGGCGAGATGTGAGAGGGAATGCCAACTAAAAGAAATGGGGTGATTGATATGCTATTAATAGGGAGTATATTAATTACAATTATGACAGTTAATGAAATGCTTGAAATAAATTATAAATAAAATATGAAGTTTAGTGGCAACGATGTAAAAACATAGAAATACTACGACCTCTTATATCCTACTGGTTATTTAAATTTGAAATTGGGTTTTACACATAGATTTATAGAGTGATGGGTATATGTCTAGGAAATAAAAAATGTAGGGATCTATATTGGACAAGCCCTATAATTAAAGAGAAGACCTAAATCCATATATGCATATGTATATGTTATACCATATTTGACCGGTCAATCAGAGAACGACACGTGGAACAAGGGACTCATAAGGAGAACCCGCTAAAACTGGCAATCTATTACGTCCCACAAAGTACCATCGGCAGGTTGTGACCCTTTGGCACAATGGCTTGTCAATCATGGCTAAAGACCGCGCTTCATTAGAGATTTCTCACAAAAACACGTGGCGTCCCCTCAGGTGATGCCCACAGTGTAATAACCCAATCCTAATTTAATTTTTAAATTTTTATTTATTTTGATAAAAGACTATTTTGCCCATATAATATTTTATTAGTATAAAATATTGACTTTTTGATTGGGAAGGAATTTGAAAATTTGAACTATACCGTTGAGACGAGTCTGTAGACACGTAGTGGACTCGAATCCAAGTTATGACGAGAAAAATACGATCGAAATTTATGTAGGGGTAAAACCGTAATTTTTCAAAACTAGATTTTGGCCGGATTTCAAACTGAAATTCCGACCAATTACAGTCCAAATTGGACGTTGCCATAGTTGAATAAATTGCTCCACTCATCGAGTAGTAGCTATAGCCGGAAGGGTGGCTCTCAATTTGGAAGTTTTCCGGC